CGTTCCTCGGTCGTGATTCTCGTTCCTCAATCGTGACTCTCAATCATCAATCGTGATTCTCAATCATCAGTCTTCTTTCTTAATCCTAGCAATCCGTCATTCTCAATCATCAGTCGATTTCTCAACAGGCAGTTGCAAACTCAATCACTTTTGAATGGTATGGCTTGCCATATGTTTCACTTTTTACGTTAACATTTTAGCATCAACTATCGTTTCAGCATTTGGTGGGAATTGGCGTTTAGTTCCGGTACAGTCACAGACACTATATTTAAAAAAATGTCTTTGCTTTTTAATTATAAAATTATGATAATTAGTTTTTAATAATAAAATAATAATGATAATATTATAATAATAATGATAATATTATAATAATAATGATAATAATTAATACTTTCATCAGCTCTCGTTTCATCATCCGGTGCGAATTGGCGGTTAGTTCCGGTACAGTCACAGACACTATATTAAAAAATATGTCTTTCCTTTTTAATTATAAAATCATGATAATTAGTTTTAGTTTTTAATAATAAAATAATTATAATAATATTATTATAATGATAATAATTAATACGTTCATCAGCTCTAGTTTCAGTATCAGGTGCAGATCTTATAACTCGGTTCCAGTGCAGTCACAGGAAAATGTCTTCCTCCTTTAATTAAAAAATAACTCGTTTTGTTAATAAATAATACATCCATAAAAAATGATTTGAGATTTTTTTTCTTTCTTGCTCTTATGTGAAGCGTGGCATCTTGAATAGTGTGACTAAACAACGGGAGAGATCAATCATCAAGACTGAACTGATCGGGCGATATTAAACTACGTTAAAGATATTCAATACGCAGAAGGGAGTAATGCTGATTAAAGTTGTTTTAAAAACGTGGGATTTGATAAGTAGCGTGCTATTTCCCCCACAAGATTAATTCAAGTAGATAAGACATCAAAAATCCAGTTGAATCAGCAATTTTTTTATGCCGCATTCCTCTTCTAATGGCTAAAGATGAAAGGTACTCAATAGATACTCACAGACGGGAACTTTTCGTTTGAAAAATATGTGGTCTCAATTTTAATTCGATTTCATTTCCCGGCACTAACTTATAGAAAATTGTAAATACAAGAAAAAGAAGTGTAATACATAGATATGTAGATATTTAAACAGTCGAGTAAAAAGAAAAAAAGAAGAGTATAGTTAATTGTGGACGACTCCCAAAGTAACATGAGGTTTCGAGTTGAGAGTCGTCTAATGAGTTTCTTTTGATAAAATGGTTTCTTTTGATAAAATGATCAGCATATTCACATTAAGCAGTTGAAAATAAAATTAATGCAATTAATACAATTAATACAATTAATGCAATTAATACAATTAATGCAATTAATACAATTAATGCAATTAATACAATTAATACAATTAATACACATTTGATGGATAATTTTCGGCTCATCGAAGCCAACCATGCATCTAAATCTTTTGTTTACCCCCTCGACAAATACAAGGTACAATCTATGACGTAGTTTCGGTTAGATTAAAAAGGGGAAAAATAACAGGAAGTACGTCATCAAGGTGTGTTTGTTTTTTCAAAAACCTTGCTTATTTGTCTTATAATTAACTATAAAATAATCAAAACATCACTACATTTAAAAACTCAATTTTCAAAATGCCATCTCATGCAAGATATTACTAACTCGTTGTTGTCAGGCTATTTGTGATCAAAGATCATATCGGTTGATCAATCATCTATCCACTAATAATGAACCTTAGTTCTTGAGCTTCATTTTTTTATATTCTTCCATTCTTAAGAAATATCTGTATTTCGCTAAAGGGCGGAGAGGCTCCCCAGTTTTCATGATCGAGTACAAGACAGTGTTTTATACAAATTTTAGTATGGATGTCCTTTCCAAAACTTTCACTTTTCTTTTAACAAGTTAAGTGCAGTCTTTTTCATCCCTTTCAGCTATGCCTCTTGCACACTCTGTTGTCGGGTCGCACAGGATGTTTTAAAATTTCATTTATTACTTTTCAATCTTTTCTTTTTTTGCTAATTAAGGTTTTTTTCTTATTGAGTATTAACCATCACGATCATTTGCAAACAGTACATTGTGGTAACGATTATTTCTCAAAATAACTCGAAAAGTCATGATATTTCAGTCTCAAGTCGCACCACAGGGGTTTTTGATTTGCGAAAGGAAGTTAAACATTGGGGGCGGATTTGCTTGTATTTTAGTCTATTTCGACATTTTTTGACCTATAAATACCACAGAGAGGAAATGAAAATACTCGAACGTCAAGTAAACCGTGGACTGATAGCATGACACTGTGTGTTCATGCATATAATAGATAGAACTCACTGACGTGCGTCCAGAATAAAGCTGAACACTAAAAGGGAAACAGTACTAAGTTATCCTTGTACAGAGAACACACTCATCATGAAAGAAAATAACAAAAATATCTACGAAATTGTGGTATTTGGTGCGGCAGGGGTCGGCAAGACCTCGATTATCCGACGATTTTACCTCGGCGAGTTCACGAATGTCTACAACCCTACAGTAGAGGATTGTTACTCACGAGTTCTAAATTTGAACGGAAAGGTTATCGTATTGAACACTACGGATACCTCTGGTAGTTACCAGTTTCCTGCTATGAGGCAGGTGGCAATAAATAGGGCTTCTGGGTTCATTATGGTATACTCTTTGGACAATCGATACTCGTTCGTTGAATTGAAGAGACTTTTCGATGAAATCGTCGAAAGTAAGCCGAATGCTGAAGTCCCTATTATCCTTGTTGGCAACAAGAGAGACATGAAAAATAAGCGACAAATATCGTCTGAGCAAGTGGTGAAGGATATTACAGAATATATCCGGTCGAAAGGTACACGTAATTTTAAATTACGACAGATTGAAACATCAGCGAAAGACAATTACAACATCGAGGCAGTATTTAAAGAAATGATTGAGATATTAACGAACATTCCATGCGACAAATCTTGCACAACGAAACCCAAAAAAGTATTAAACTGGTTGAGAAAATTCAGTTGTACTTTCGGATCATACACTGTGAACTAAATACCGAATCTCGTATCGTAATAGGCATCCAAGCGATAAATCATGTACGAAGAAACCTCAAGAATGTATTGAACACGAAAAACATTCCATACGATAAATCTCAGGTACAAAGAAACCCGAAAAATATTAAACTGGTTGAGAAAGTTCAGCTGTTCATTCGGCTCACACGCTCAACTAAATACAAAATCCTGATGATCATCATGATAAACTTTCAAGCGGTAAATCATGTACGAAGAAACCTCTGGAAGATATTGAGCACGAAAAACATTCCATGCAATAAATCATGTACGAAGAGCCAAAAAAGAGGTTTAACTGGTCGAGAAACTGATTGAACTGTACTTTTGGACCATTATACACTGTGAATCGAAACTGGAATCGGAAACTTGTATCTTACTAAGCTGTCAAGAATATATCGAACCATGAAGAACTCGAAGGATTTTTTTGATATTTGCGTAAACCTTCCATGCAAGAAGTCACGTCCAGGGTACCGGTAAACAATTTCTCTGAGTTGGCAAAAAAGCAAGATATTGAAATAAATATCAAACTGAGTTATAAGAGTCAAGTTACTAATTTAAATTTAAGATAACAATTCGTTTTCTGATGATATTAGCTATTGCTAAATAGTTTGGAAAGAACTAATTATTGTAATTTAATTATGTTTTAATATGACTTAGCATGTCTAATGACCGTCCTTTACTGGCTCAGTACTCGAAAAGTGATTTATTTTAAGATAATCCGACATACTGGGATATTGGATCAGCTTGTCAAAACTTCCCACTTGCGATCTATTTTGTTAGGTACTGAACATTCTGAATAAAAAGGGGGTTAATCATTACTATTTCGGCCCAGTTCATGTCTCAGAACGTTAGGAAATTTGGCATGCTGCCACATGAAGCCTCTCCTCCGTGCAGAGAAAACACGAGGTCTTTTCTTAGTAAAGAGTAGCCTCCTTTGCAGCCGGGAAACGTTGCGTGACGACCCTAAGAACGGCTGCAAAGGAGGCTAAGTAAAGAGGGGAGGGGATAAGGAGTTGTACCATTTGTACAGAAATACGATTGGAACTGACTGTCCAACATTCCCTATAAAAGCGCGTATTATATTTAAAATGATAGATATCATTGTATAGATATATATTTAACTGATAAAAACTAAAGCTATTCAGAAAAATTATACAATAATTATTTTTAGTGTACATATTTTGAAATCAAACATTGATATAATGCCATATTAGAGTCAATAGAGTCTTTATTGACCTAGTTTCTTTTGTGGAAAATTTTCGGCTGAAAAATACAGCCTTCATCAACTGAATGGGTCGTTTATTTCATGAGGAGCTTTAGCGATAGTACCCCTGGGAGTTAGAAGCGGAATATAGACTCGCAGGAATTCTGGTTTTTCATTGGTTGAAAATTTTACGGTAGAGTATTCCACATTCTAGGATTTAAATCCTAAACCAGACCCACAATGCATTGCAATGCCAACTCCACCCAGTTTTTTCCTTAACCTTAAAATGGCTGAATTGTGCACGGAGAGTAAATGATCATGTCAGCGCGCATTGACACTTGAAACATTTGTAATCCTCCTTGTTTTATAACCCAAAACCTGGACTAGTCGGCTCCTGAACGGCTTGTTGAACATGTTAAAGACAATTGGGTTGATGGCACTACTAGCGTAGGTAGAGTACGTGAAGATCATCTCAGCGTGTCGAGGAAGGTTAATGTAAGTTGAAAGGAACAATACTGACGTACAAGGGATCCAGCAAACAACAAACCCACAAACCAATGCCAGAACAGACTTCGTGATGTGGACTTCTTCCTTACTGAGCGAGGAATTGCTTCCACTTGGTCCCACATGGAAAGACGAAGAGACTGCATCGTTATGCCCCTTGATAACTTCACAGATCTTCCAGTAACAAATGATTGTCAATGATAATGGAATTACTATAAAGAAGATACACGACGTTAGCTGGAAGATGAGCTCCGTGGTTTTATCATTATATGCAAGCATATAAATAAATCGCCCTGGGAAGAACTTGGACGTTGCCATCCCGCTCAGATAGACCACAGCAGTATTGGAAAACGAAAAAATCCATACTCCTATAATCATTATGATTGCATTTTTTGGCTTGAAATATTTCCGGTAAGTCAAAGGTTTAACTACACAGAAGAATCGGTTGACTGCAATAAGTGTTGTAGTTTGCAATGTTCCAAACACCAATGCGTACGCAATAAACCCAACAACCAGGCCTGCGGTAACCCCCATGACATTTCGTCCAGAGCCAGCCACTATTATTGTTGGAGTCATGGCAACGATCACCATAGCAACGTCAGACATAGCAAGGGTCATAATGTAATAGTTAGTGACAGTACGAAGGCGAGGGGATTTGTAAAAGACAAACAGTACACAGGAGTTCCCTAAGAGGGCTGCTAATGCGATGAGGACTAGAGTCATGGTCTCTGCGATGACTTGTGCTGGTGATCTTTGTGCCAACTGGTAAGCGAGTATCTTGGTGTGCTCTGTGTTAGACATGCTAGACAACACCAAATTGGTTACTCAACACCTTCGCTGTCCAACCAGTAGTTTGTAAACTATACACGACAAATAAGACCAATATATAGACCAATTTAGCTTAGCCGTAATGTTTCCCTGTCCCACCTCCCCGTGAGAATCAATTGTTTGTTTTATTTAGGGACTGTGCAATAATTATCGGGAAGTGGGGGGGGTTCTAAAATCCTCCAAATTGGGCTTCAATTGAAGCTAATCCCCCCTGTGCTAAACGTAAATTAACAACCCCCCCCCCCCCCCCCCCATACATCGCCACCAACGCCTCTCGGCAACAGAACATAGGAAGAAAAGGGCATGTGTTATGTTTAATTCCAATTCCTTAGGAGGAAATCCTTCAGCAAAAGAATACAGCCCTAAGATATATGCCATCCGACAACTTGACAATATTGATGAGGACACTGCTAATATTTACATCTACATCTCAAACTGACAAATCCTGCCCCTAAGGGACCTTCTTTCTTCGAAATTTTTTGTTGGGGAAGCCAAGGAGCTTCTGTTTTTACCCTTGACATAGCACTAAATATCGCGAACATAAAGCTAGAAGAATGATTACAAAGCAAAACAAAAAAGACATGACATAGTTGTCTTATATACAGTCAGTCAATGTGGCATAACTTTACCACAGTACAGTATAGAAAGTTGTGACTTGTACTGTTTTTAGTTACTGTTTTTTGTACTGTTTTTATTACAAAGGATACTCAGTTTATACATTATTTCAACACATGTGGTTTTGAGGTTGCACCTGTGACAAGTTATGTTCTTTATACAGTAAAAAATGTAACAATAAATGTTTATTTTAAACAGTACATTTATATGCATCTTTTCAATTTTATAGTGAACAAAATCCCAAA